CTTGCAAAAAAACATAAGATTCTGGGCATGTTATGTAGATGGCATTTAGTCCTTAGATGGGCCTTATCAGGGTGAGTTTCGTTTCTAAAACCTGCTTTACGATAAAGCTTATAATCTCAAAAATTTAACCCAAAATCCAGAGGGCAATGAGATCATCACTTCTCCATTCTCACCACCTTCATTGCCATCTAAAGAGCTGCATGTTCCAGGTGTTTTGCGTACATTTAGTAAAGTGTAGCTTGTTTTCCTTTTTAAAAAATCAAGGTGAAAATAATACCCCATGGCATCCCTCGCGCACCCGCAGCGTTCCCGCCCGGGGAGGCGGCGCCCCCAGGAGAGGCGGCGGCAGCAGCAGCCGCGCGCGGCCCGGGCAGCCGAGGAAAGGAGCGCGCGGCCCCGTCCCGCCCTCGCCACTTACCCTCCTGCAGCGGCCCCGCCCTGCGGGGAACTTAGAAAACTTCCCAGGGCAGGACCCCGGTATGGGCCCCCCCAATATTTTTTATAAGTCGGCGCCCCTGGGTACATCTCTTTATAATTGTTAAGGGCCACTGTAGATGCTGAATGCGTTAATCCATGGGTTGGCAAACTGAGGCCTGGGGGCAGATCCGGCCCAATCGCCTTCTAAATCCAGCCCGCGGCCGGTCTGGGAATCAGCATGTTTTTACATGAGTAGAATGTGTTCTTTTATTTAAAATGCATCTCTGGGTTATTTGTGGGACATAGGAATTCGTTCTTTTCCTCCCCCAAAATATAGTCCGGCCCCCCACAAGGTCTGAGGGATAGTGGACTGGCCCCCTGCTGAAAAAGTTTGCTGACCCTTGGTTAATCCGTTTCTGACTACTTGTGCATGTGCTAGCACTAAAAGCAACTATTATCAAGAGCAGCACCTTGGCTTGTGGAGGGGGAAGGGGAGCACCATGTGTTGGAAGGGGTTAATCCTTCTCCCATTGCTGATGCCCCAGTGCAAATCCCCCCCCCCCCGGGCTGATCCCTCTCCCTTAACACTGCATGCTAAGGAGCTGTTGCTAAAAGCCATAGAATTTTGTGGGATGGAGGTAATCTTTAGCACATAGTACTGTCGCAGCCAGGGACGCGGGTGGCGCTGTGGGTTAAACCACAGAGCCTAGGACTTGCCGACCAGAAGGTTGGCGGTTGGAATCCCCGCGACGGGGTGAGCTCCCGTTGCTCCATCCAAGCTCCTGCCAACCTAGCAGTTCGAAAGCACGTCAAAGTGCAAGTACATAAATAGGTACTGCTCTGGCGGGAAGGTAAACGATGTTTCCGTGCGCTGCTCTGGTTTGCCAGTAGCAGCTTAGTCATGCTGGCCACATGACCTGGAAGCTGTACGCCGGCTCCCTCGGCCAATAAAGCAAGATGAGCGCCGCAACCCCAGAGTTGGCCACAACTGGACCTAATGGTCAGGGGTCCCTTTACCTTTACCTTTACTGTTGCAGCCTTGAGAGTTAAGTGTAAGCTGTATTGAAATTTTAAAAGGATGTGAACCTGAATATAATAGCAAAATCAAATGCATCTTCCATAAGCTTATTTCATATAGGTCCAAGTGATGTGGGCTGTATATTTGTATTTGACAAATGGCACATTGATTCAAGCACAACATTTTTGCAGCGAACATGGAGTTACATTGTTGGCACTGAACGTTGTTTTTCCTTCACTTATTTTTCATAATGATTTTCAAGAGGCAGAATGCAACAGATCTTAATTCTCTTGTCTTTTTCCCTTTAGTACTATTTGAATAAAATGGAATACCTATTAAATGCCAACATGTACAGTGCATTTCTAAGATAGTCTTTCAAAGCAGCAAAGCTCAATTATCATTATGCAATTTAAATCTCTCATAAAAATGAATTTAATGCTTTTGCAACTAATAACTATGCAAATAAAGTTCTTTCCATTCCACTTAACACAATTAAAATTCTCAGCAAGTTAAATATATTGAATTGTTTATCTATGGAGAGACATGTAGGACACCAATTAAGTTTACATGGATAAATGCAGATTTGTGTTTTGTGAATGTCAAGTTGACAGAAGCTTAATATTGTAAAAAGGGCTAATCAACACAGAATATGTTTAGTGTCAGTAAATATTTACACTGAAGAATGTTTCCCATGAATGATGAGGTACAACAGTCAGCTTATTCTGAATTTTACTAATTAAATTCTATGACTTGTAGATCACCACATTCATACCGTTTATGTATAATTTTTTACAATGTGTATGATTCCATGATAAATATAAAGACTCCGGTGATAAAGGACATATGGGCAAATCTCCTCATTCCTCCCCCTCTTTCCCCCATTATTTAAAGTTGTTGATAAATTGTTGCTTCAGTTCTGTTTTGGAGATAGGAGATAAAATGTTTTGGTAGTTCGTACTGGCAGTTCGTGCCAACAGCCTTCATTGTTGCACGGTCTGGTGCAGGATCGGCCGGGATGTGGCCCTTGAGGCCTTTCCTTGGCAGCCCTCTGCAACATTTGATGCCCCCCCCCCCACATAGCCCTTGTGCTGCCTTCCTCAAGCTGGGTGAGGTGCTGGGCTTTGGGAAGAAGGTGTGAGGGCTCTGACAGGGTCCTTGAATCCTCCCACCTTCGTTCCAAAGCCTAGTTAGTGTTTTTCCAGCTTTGGGAAGGAGCTACCAGAGCCTCAAGCATCCTTCCCCAAGCCCAGCGCCTTGCTTAGCTGGTTTTGGGAAGGCAGTGTGACAAAACAGTGTGCTGCCCGCGGGTTCAGGGTTGAAGTATTCTTGTGGCCCACTTGGTATGAAAAGTTGGGGCGCCCTGGTCTAGTGCATTAGAAGTGACTGGGACTAGGGAAGTAGGGATGCCCTACTCAAATCTTGTATTAGTGGTTACCAGCCATGGCCACAGAACAGCCAGCGGGAAAATGCGTATTACATTTTTGAAAGATGGTATCTACCTGGTCCCCTCACCAACACTCCTTCTCCAACTAATCTATTCTCTTGGGAATTTGTTGGATTATGATTATTCTCCTGTCTATTGAGTGTGGGTTTTTTGCTATTTTGTTAGGGTTGTTTTATAGGTTATTGTGTGTCTCTTGTTGTGATGTGTTGTTCTTTTGTACTGAAATTATGCCATGCTTCATGATTTTAAAACTTGTAAGTGCTTAGAGACTGTCAGATGACTAATAAATGAATGAGAGAGAGAGAGAGAGAGAGAGGCCTTATTATACTGTGTGGAATAAAAAAACTAAGGGAATGTTTACAATGCAAATCCAAGCTTTTGTGTCCATCATCCCCGTTACCCAGGCAAATCTTACCATTTGTATGTGCCCCATCCGCTTCTTGGGACATAGAACAAATCTGCAACATCATTCTTATTTTCTGTGGCCCCCCCCCCCCCATTTTTTGGCATTGTGAATGAACAGTACAGAAGTTACAGATTTCATTATGTTTCCAGTTTTTGTGGCTTTGGTCTCAGCTGCTTGGATTACCAAATGTGGTACAGAAGGAAATATCATTGCACGATGGATGTAATATATAGTTCAGTGCGCATGGAGACTGGCCTCTGTTTGATCCTGTGAGAATGTGGGGTTAATGTCTGGCTGGTGTTTTGGAAGCAGCAGGTAGCCAAGAGTAAACTCCTATAGGGGTCCAGATTTCTGTAGCCTCATAGTTATTCACACAGATGGGGGATACCTTGTGAACTTTCACTGAGGTCAAGCTAAACTGCAAATCATACTTTGAAATTTCTGAAGTCTTAGGAACGTTGTGATTGAGGCTAGAGCACCACGGCTTTCAAGTCGTTTGGTGGAGTAGGTTTGCTTAAGCCTCCCAAATTTGGTGTTAGAAATAGCTGAAGATAGACTTGTGCGCTCTTATGGAAAGGGGAAATTGCATGTTAAAGTGCTTATTTACATTTTCATGATACTAGGTCCTATGGATTGCAGGAGCTTCTGATTTCTCTCCACATAGTTTGGCATGAATAAAAATAATATTTGATTTTAGTTCTTGGGGCAATCAATAGAAAAAGAGATCCCTGTCATCAGTCATCAGCTATCATATCACCAGGGATCTTACGGCAGTTTGGTCAAGAAATAAAAAAGTGGATTGTGTTTTTTAGCATTTACTCAGTCTGGGAACGTGTGGCATTATGTGCTTAACTGCTGAATTTGCACTCAGGAAACAAATATGCGTTGCAGTATTTTCATCGGTGGCTTTTCGTATTTACAAGTTGAATATCTATATATTACCTCCTTAATCTTACATGTTTGTCTGGGAATTTTTGTTACCCTGAATGTGGATTATGTTTGATTCAATGGTATTAAAAGTTATTTTGACTGCAGAGTCCAGTTACAAATATTTTACTGCAGTTGACATGGGAATGTGAGTTTCAAAGTTAACAGGTGGTTCATAGACTGACTTAGCTTAATCATACCCCCAGCATCTTACAATATAACAAGTTTTGAAGTGTTCATTGTTTAGGAATTGGTTCTTAAGCTGTATCAGTAAGATGTATAGGCTGTGTCTCAGTGTTTAAGGGGGAAGAACAACATAAAATAACAATAAAAATAATATCACATTAAAGGAGAAAATGGCTTAGAAATGTTTCAGCCCAAAGTGAACACAGAAAGACTGTTCATAGTCCTCAAGTAGAGGAACAGAAAGCCTAAATATCCTCTTCTGTTCTGACCTGTAGAATTCTGTCCAGTGATATTGTTTCTGTTGCTGAAAAAGCATAGGCAGATTTAAGAGTTCTGCAACTTGGCTATGTGCACCACTTGAATATTTGTTGTGTGCAACTGTAAGTTCCAAGCTGAATGACAGTGCAATACTGTAAAATAACATTTATCCATACATTTTGCATCTGGATCTTTCATTACTATTAGGGTGCTCTGAGTTGTCCACCTACTCCAAACACCACTCCAAATATCTCTGTAGAGCATGTCCATTCTATTCCAGGTACCCTTTGTTATTTCAGCATTCATTAATAATATAAGATGTCTAAATATTACTGTGCTTCCAGGTGTGGCCCATAATATTGCATTACTACGGGAAGTGATCGTCCATCCACGCTTTGTCCAGGGAGACATCAACACAAAATTTCTTCCAGATGTGTATCCTGATGGCTTTAAAGGTTGGTCCTTAATGGAAATGTTAAGCATTTGGCTGGGAGCAGGGATGGCTGGGGGTGGGGTCATGTGTGAAAATTTCCTCTGAAATGGTTTTCTAATTATTCTTTGAACTTGGTTTTTTGGTCTCCCTAATTTTACTTTTAAAAATAATAGTGTATTTGAAAATTAAAGCAATTGTTTCCTTCAACTTCCAGGTAGACTAAAAATCAAGTTGGGTTTTTGTAACCCAGTTGATGTTGCTTTGAAGCGAAACAGTTTTTTTCCATAGCAAGATTTAAGAGAGTGGCCTGGTTCCGAACCCATCCTCAGCTAGTAAAGTCTGGCATGCTGTTAATAAATGCTGGCATTCTGTGAAAGCATTGACTACATTGTGTTCCAGGAATCTATTTCTCATTGGAAGGCTGCATGATGGCAAGTTGGGTACTTATTCAGTCCCAAGGATTTACCAAGAGCTGGAAGAGCACTCCTAATTTATTTCATTTACACTAATAAACCATTTAATTAGTATAATATTGATCGAAAGTGGACTCAGGACATGGCTTTTGGAGAGACTTTGACTATGAGTTAGAAGAATATAGACAAGTAAGAAAAGGTCTTCTGAAAGAGAGAATTTACCGTGGCTGGGTTCCAAAAGATGTTAAATCTTGTAAGCAAGGAGAGATTTTATAAGATTCCCATATATGCTTCACTTTTGTTACTGTAGTGATAACTAAATAGTAAAAGTGAATATTTGTTTCACAGTTCAGCTGTTGAGGCGGAGAATATATTTTTCTCTTCTTAAATTAGTGATTGACTGTTAGGGTGGCCATGTATCCTACTTTATAGTCCTCTATTTGAAGGGATGTCAGAAAGAGAGCAGTCCTCTATTGAAGTCTTCCTCTGTTTGAGGGGCTGTCTAATCTGGTTTAACAATACTGAACCATAAGAAGGGAGAGTAGAGGTCTTGAAGTTGCCCATAAACAGCGCCTGTAGACAGGTCACAGTCTTCCCCAATATGGTGGGATGTATTGTAATTCTATTTAAATGATAGCAATTATTTCTACATTTTCCTCTAAACGCGTTTGCAGCCCCCCCCCATTTGTATACTGTGTTTTGGTGATGCATTTTCTATATTTTGGCAATGTGTTAGTGCTGCACAGCTTGGGCTGTGTAACCGAAGCTTTTTACCAAGTCATATGTTGTGAAGGAATGCATCTGTTCAACCATTTTGTTCTTAGCTTTTAAATGGCTGCTTTATGTTTAAAAGCTGTTTTTGCCATGGTGTTTAAGAGGTCACAGGAAGTTCAGAAGGGCAGCTCAGGGAAGTGAAACTTAAAAGACAGTGGGGGGAGAAAATTATGGGAACTAGAAACTTAAAACAAACTACCAGTATTCTGATTGACTAACAACTGTGGACAAGGGAGCAGTCGTGTATCTAAGTAAAGTGGGCAAGAGCAATGTTAGTGTTGGCAAGTTGGGAAACTCAAGAGAGAGGGAAAAACTAGAAATCCGAAGAAGTCAGGACTGAGAAGACTCCGATAAGAAGGACGAAAGCCAAAAACAGGACTGGATGCTGCACTGCTAATGCGTTGAGGTTTTATTACAATCAAGTGGTATATAAATCTTGTTAAATAAATAAAATTTAAAATGAGTTATAATGAGCTGAAATTGTGATCATAGCTAATGTAGGGAAAGCCTAGACCAGGGCTAAGTACATACCATACATTTAAAGCAAAGAATCCTGGGAGCTGTAATTTAGCCCTCCCAGACCTGCAGTTCCCAATTTCTTCTGGAAATATCACAACAAGGATTAAATTGCTGCTTTTCAAAACCCTTAGTAAAATCTCAATATGTTACTGCTTCAGCCTATATCTGATGCCTTCCTCTTTTCTCCCATTCCCAGCTTCTTTACCATACTACCCACAGTACAGTGAGTTAACTGGTTCAGTAAGTAATGGGGCTGTGCATGAATTGCTCGATCCACCCTATGGTCCCAAATTGTTACCCCCAGATCAGGCTGGTCTGGGCCTCCTTTGTCTCCATGATATGGATGCACCCCCAAAGTAATTTGAGGTGTGTGTGTGTGTTAAGGGTTTTTAAATCTCTCTTTTAAAATAGGGTTGGGAGGGGGTGGGCGCAGCATCAGAACTTCCTGCTTATCAGGAGGGTCTGATCCTGTGTGGTGCTTTTTCTTTACAAGTGGTTCCCTCTTTGCAGTTTCGCTGCCTTCTTCCCTCTCCTGCCTAACAGTCCATCCGCTGACAACCCTGGATGACTCTGGGCTGCTAAACCTGACCTCTTACAATCTGGATCTGTCTTGTAGAAGCATAGAATTGTAGAGTAGGAAGGGATCCTCATGGCCATCTAGCCCCAACCCCCAACAATACAGGAATCTCAACTAAAGCATCCATGACAGATGGCCACCTCAACCCGAATAAGGCCCAGATCCAGTGAAAGCACACTGGATGAAGAGGAAATGGGAGCATGTGCACAGCCAAAGTTTCAGAGGTTATAGGGCTATTTTGACAGCCAGAAAATAAATACTTCCACTTGTTAGGCAAAAGTGACTACTACAGATGGGGCTATGTTAGCTGGTTTCCTCAACCATCCCTCTCATGGTGAAGGCTACAGCCTGTGGCATCATAAATAGCAGATCATAACATTTTGTAGAACAACAAATTATGATGATCTTCTCTTAAGTTCCCAAATAAATCATTTCTATTTTCTCCCATGAGATAGGGTCCTATTCTTTACCCAATAATGTTCCCCTCATGAATTTGTAGAGTACTAATTACCAGTTTACTCATTCTGCTCTTTGTATCAACAGATTTGGTAACAATTAATTTAGTAAATTGAAGGTATTGGGTGACCCAAATTCATAGTACTGTTAATGAAATGGAAGAAGCTTCCAAAATTATGACTTAGAAGCCACTAATTTTGAATCATGGGTGGTTTTTTTAGGTTATTGGGTTTACAGTTTTGAGTTTATATTTTGTATGGCTGCATAACATCTTTAGGAAAACCTTCCATTGCACTATAGCATAGGCCAAAAAAGTGTATAAACTTTAAAGAGAGTTCCTCTCTCAAAACTGATTTATATAATGTTTACTAAGTACTGAATAACAGCTAGGTGCTGTTGAGTACATTGTATTAATTAAAGATAAAGGTCCTACCTGTATATGTACATTTTATCACTGTGATTGTCTTCAGGCAAAAATATACATATAACTGGCGTAAACTGGTGGTGAAAGAATGTCGTGATTACTACAGTAATATTTAGTGCCATTAGACTTGTGGAAATCACTATAAAAGTATGTGTATTTCTACTCCTCATGGTATTTTCTGCATGTGATTCAGTATAAAGTGAGGTCAACTAGAGAAAAGCCACCTGGTAATGGACCCATGAAATTGGAGTGGAGATCCTTCAAATATTAGCAATACTACCCAATGAAATAGGAAAATTGGGTGGGTGGAGGTGGGGGGGGGAGTAGCAGGGTACTGCATCCTCCCAGTTCTGGGTGTGTGAAATCCTGTACCCATTTGTATAAATGGAGCTGTCAGTTTCAGGAATCCATTTCTACTGTGCCTTGCTTCTCACTGAGATCAACCATTCCTTTTATGTTCAAAAATATGGTGTCTGATTATGATGCTTTTACTAATAGGCTTGTATAACGCAAAGTACCCATGTGTTAGAAAAAAACCCCAAGATTTTTTAAAATTCAAGGATCAATAAAATAAACATTATTTTTTTTACAACTTCTTTTAATTCTATGAAATATCTTGACAGCTTTCCTATTAACCTCAGCTGGCAACTTTTAATTAAATTTTTACTTGGAGTGGAGTACTTGACACATGTTCAGGCTAATTTTCAAGTGTATATGTTCCTCATGTGTCAGCTTTCATCAACACAAAGCAGCTTTTTAAAAAAGGCATTATTTCTTTTGCTTTGCATGCTGCAGTGACGGATTTTCGATAGGCTTCTATATAATAAAGTATTGCAAATCCTGTAACTAGTAAGATCCCAAACTTTAAGTAGGTGAAGGGTAGAATGTTTCTACTTTGCTTCTCTCTATTCATACAAAATACTATTGCAACCTTTTGGTTTGGAAGATGATCCAAAAAGATAATAGTATATTATGAAACAAGTGTTCTATTAGCTATTAATGAACCCCCCTCCCCACAGTTTACACAGAGGATATTTCATGCAGGATCTTCCATGTACACATCTGTATCTTCAAAGCCCAGGACATTTTGCGGCGAGCAGCTGCCATAGCTCTAAAGGGGAGCTCTTGGTGGGCATTTTTCTCAAGCAGGGATGCTCAGGTGGCAGAATCATGCTCACCTGATTCCTTTACTCCCTCCTATAGTCCTTTTTCATGTATCTTCTAGGCAGGAGAAGAGGCCAAGATCTCAGAGGCAGCAAACAGATTTTTCTTACCAGTGGGTTTCACACTTTCTTCTCTGTGGACTACTTGAAAATAGCTGAGAGTCTTGTTGGGCCACTTTATGAATTTTCTGCCTGTTGTAGGAATTGTAATGGGTTAAGCTAGATGTTGGGACACAGGTGGCGCTGTGGGTTAAACCACAGAGCCTAGGACCTGCTGATCAGAAGGTCGGCGGTTTGAATCCCTGCGACAGGGTGAGCTCCCGTTGCTTGGTCTCTGCTCCTGCTCAACTAGCAGTTCGGAAGCATGTCAAAGTGCAAGTAGATAAATAGGTACCGGTGGGACCTTCCGGTGGGAAGGTAAACGGCGTTTCCGTGTGCTGCTCTGGTTCGCCAGAAGCAGCTTTGACATGCTGGCCACATGACCATTTACTGGCTCCCTCAGCCAATAAAGCGAGTTGAGCGCCGCAACCCCAGAGATGGCCACGACTGGACCTAATGGTCAGGGGTCCCTTTACCTTTACCTTTAAGCTAGATGTTGTATGGATTTAATGCCATTTTCATTGCTTCTTTTATTTCTTGTACCATGCTTTAGTATGTTACAGCACCCAGAGTAAGTTTGCTCAAGGGCTGATGCCCTGGGTAACCATGGCAAAAGCAACACAAGAGCAATTTGGATGCTGCTTATGACCTGGCTCATACTTCTCTCTGAATAACACCCAGAAGCTCCGTAACAGCACAGATGCCTCTTTACATTTCCCACAATCCTGTGATTAGGCCCTGAGACATGTGGCTTCCTACTAGGAACTGTTTTTGCTTTATCAAGTCTTTGCTTTATCAAGTAAAGAACTGAAACCTATGCTGCTTCAAGAGGTTTAGATACCCACCCAAATTTATTACCAGCTGCAGAATGAGTCACAGTATGCTTTGCAATGCTGTAGTTGCAATCCAGTTCTTCCATTGTAGGAACGTGCTTGACATTTATTGTTGGTATTGGTTCATTAGTAAAGTGCTGGAATTTGGTGCTGAAGATGCTTTGTTGCAGAGCCCTTCTGAATTTGGATCAAATGTAGATGGTGTTTCTTGTGGGAATGTCCACTGGGCTAAGGGGGGAAATTTCTAAGTGGGGCGTGAGAGTAAGGTAAACTGGAGACCCAGATATCTAAAAGACTGCCTACTCCTAATCAAACCTGCTTGACAGATGAAGACCTACTTAGAGCAGTGTTTCCCAACCTTGTGCCTCCAGATGTTTTTGGCCTACAACTCCCATCATCCCTGACTAGCAAGACCAGTGGCAAGGGATGATGGGAATTGTAGGCCAAAAACAGCTGGAGGCACAAGGTTGGGAAACACTGACTTAGAGGCACATTTTAAGTTCTCCTTCCTTCTGAAGTGAGGTGGGTAATCACCGTGGACATAGACCTCTTAGTGGTAGCACCCAACATTTGGAATTCTCTCCTCAGGGAGGAATGCCAAGTGTCAGGCAAATATCTCTTTATTTTTTTAGGCTTCTAAAACATTTAAATCTGATTGCTACTGGTTTTTACACCTTTTTTTCTTTGCTGTAATTTATGTTTTATCCATTTTTTAAGCTGCCCTGAGAATTATTGCTGAACTGAAGGGCAGGGTATGAAATCTTGTAAAAATGGTTCTGATGCATATTACAGTTTTGAAAATTGATTTTGAAATCTTAGGACACACGTTGAAGGACTCTGAAAAAAGGGAGCTACTGGTAACAGCGGCGTCTTTGTATGTGCTTGAACGACTTAGATCACAGAGATTTCTGGGAACTCCAAGGTAAGTTTGTTTGTAGAAAGTCATGTATACTGACTGACTTTATTAATGGTTCAGGTAGGTAGCTGTGTTGGTCTGACGCAGTCAAAATAAAAAATAAAAATTGTCCAGTAGCACCTTAGAGACCAACTAAGTTTGTTCTGGGTATAAGCTTTTGTGTGCATGCACATTTCTTCAGATTTACATTTATTAATGGTGCTTTTGCACAGACAAAGGAACTGATTAGAATTTGCAAGATTTCATGATTCCCTCCCTGAATTCTACTCATGCAGTAAGACTTTTTCCTTTCCTTTTTAAAATAAAAAGTGTACCTAACCCTGTACCACCAGTTACCAAATTATTTTAAATAGGCGACCATTTCCTGCTTGAAAGGATTTTGGCGTTAAAGGTAGCATAGACATAGACCAGGATACAGAAGATCATGCAACTAGTTCCACTTGTCCAACAAGCTTGTGCTTCCCAGACAGCAGTCATCTCTGACAATCTGCTGCTGAAATTCAACATTTCAGGGACAGTTTGTGATGATGTCACGTGAGCCTGCTTTTCAAAGAAAAAAGTTTTGAGATTTTACTAGATGTGTGCAAAACCTTGAACGTGTGTAAATCAACTGTTTCAACCCTAATCATAGTGACATGGTGAGTTGTGCTCGTGAAAAGATCCCTTTGGTTAGTGGGAAATGGAAAATTCACCTGAAAATTCACTTTATTCGTGGAAAGAAAGGTTAGTGACCATGCCATAGGCCGTACTGACATATAATGCTAAGCCATAGTTTATGGAGAAGTCTGAATGAATGTGAGTAAAGTGTTGGGCTCACACGCCTCCCCTCCTGTCTCCTTATCTAGCACGGCAGAGCTTAGTTTCGTTTTTGTAGAAACCTGGCCTGGTTTTACATTTGAACCAAAGACCCTGGTTTAAAACCAAATCTGATTCCATTAACCATTGGTCATGAAGCTGGCTTGTTAAACAGAGTAGCTTTGTTTTTGTTTTTAAAATAACAGCATCCCTAATTCAAACACAGCACTTGTGATTTGACAGAATATCTTATAAAGGGGGGGGGAACCCCCACCCAAATTCCAAAATACAAATATTGCTATATAATAAATACAGAATATTTTGTAATCCAAACTCTCTAGGCATATAGGAAAATATAGCCTCCCTTATTATCTTATTTCAGTTATTATTTCCTGTGTGAAGAAAGCATGACCTCTCTAGCTATAGGAGCATTAGCCACCTCTGTTGGACATCATGAAAGGGTTTGCTTAAGTCGATATTGTGTCAGATACGCTTACCTTCTTCACCTTGCTCTCTTAGTTGTGCTTTGCAACTTTTGTCTTGAGTCAAGTGCGATAAGTATTGGAGAACTGGCAGTTCTTGTTTGTGTTCCAGGCCAAATATCAAGCTTTTCCGATATAGTGAATTTTGAACGATTTGTTTACCTTTTTTTGAGCAAGCTATGCTCTCAGTTTGCTTTGTTGATAATAGCTATAACATTTCCTAATGAAAGCAGACTAGCAGACAAAACCTTAGGATTGTCAGGTCTATCATTTGGACTCATCTGTCAGGAAGAAAATCCACTTACATTCAAGTTGTTTGTGTTGCATGCACAACAGGAAAAAAAAATCCGGTGATGGAGATCTCTGACCCCCTTTTTTGTGATTATATTCCATTGTCTGCCTCCTCTTATGTCAGAAAATCTTGTTGATAATGAACCTAAACCTATCTCTCTGCAATTTAAACCCATTTACCTTTCGGTCTGTCCTTAGTGATTATGACAACTAATAACGTTTTCCTGGTTTTTTACTAAAAGGGTTCTTAATAAATACTGACTGCAGTAAAAAATAAATTGCAGATAAATGGCTGCAACTTTTTGCAGAAAAAGAAAAGCAAAACCTGCTACGGTATACTTCATAAGCCCTTAACATGTGCTTGTACCATGTTACATATCTGATTCTGCATTGGAGAAGGTGTCTGTTTGTCTAACCAATTGAGGACTAAAGGGCATAGTTAGCATTAGTTACCGCAAGTCTGCTTTGCACGGAAATCTCTATACGTTAGAGGGGTTGTGCTTCAGAATACCAGTTGCTGGAAACTGCACTCGGGTCCTGCTAGTGGGCTTCTCCTAAGCATCTAATTAGCCATTGTGAGAACAGGATGCTGTACTTCATGGACCACTTTCTGATCAGGCAGGATCTTCTTCTGTCCTTATTAATGATTTGTAATGTGTATTGCTTTTATAACCATTTCTGTTCCTTGGGGAACTGTAACAATAACGCAATTGCAGAATTCGTCTTGGCCAATGAAGCTGATTTATCAACAAAAACAATACACAATTGATTTTCTCAGAAAAATAAGTGGAGTTAAAAACAACATCAGGCTTTATAACTGCTGCTGACTTTTGCTCCACCTGATTGTTATTGGCTTGTGGGGCATTGTGCACTGTGATTTGGGTGACTCATTGGAATGGGTGGTAGCCATGGGGGTGATTGTCCCTGTCTTGTTTTTAACTACTTCTCTGCTACCTCACATTCTTTTACTACCTTCATCCCTTGGCCCAACTGTACAGTAGCATCAATGGTGGAACTGGGAAGGGTCAGCAGAGGACCATGCTGAATGTGCAGTTGGTTGGGGTGAGGGCAGTGTGTAAAGGTGGCTCTGGCCTCGACTACAGTTCTCTCCTATTTTGTGGGGGAAATCTGGTTGCATGCTAAAAAAAAAGGTGCTTACCGTCATTAGGGTGTCTGTTGCAATTATGGCAAAAGAAGTGTGTATTTTTGCTTCCTATTAGTTCAGTTCGGAACTTTTTTTAAAAATGTATTTTTATTTGATCAGTTTTAAAGGTAGCTTTTCAATCATTCTTTTTCTTAGGAAAAATTGCAGCAGATTTCTCTTTTCTAAGTAATTATCTAAATGCTTGATATCACGTGGGGCACAGATTTCTTACAGGAAGTAGCTGTGAATATATATTGCACTGTTTTGAACAATTATATGTAGCATTTATCTTATTTTTTAAATAGGTTGGTTTATTGTCAAGTGGGTGCCACCCATTGCTTCAAGTCATTTTTACATTAGGCGATAAAACAACAATCCTGTGGTTATCATGATGTCAGATTATGATACAGTTTCCAGTGGACATAGTTTGGCATGAGAGAATCTAGCTTGTTTGGCGTAGCCAAGATCTCTCAAACTAAAAGTGATGTTCAACTAATGGGAGTCTTTATTTTCATTAGCAGTTTGGACGGGGGAATAGGAGAGCAAGTGCTCCAGGTGTGGTCCTCTCTTGGGTCTACTAATGTAATGTTTACACTTCTAACGCTGATTGCCTACAGCACTTCCTATGTGTTGCTTGTGTTGGCTGCAAAGCTTATTTTCCTAATTTCTCTATTGGTTTTGGCCTCCCATCATTCATGGCTTGGAAAAATCCACGGTTTGCTGCATGCCTGTATTACCCGATGTAGCGTGCTTGAGGAAAAATTGGCTCAGTGTTTAAAACGAGGACATTTTAAACCTTTGTCCTTTTAAAGACAAAGGAACTTGCCATTGAGAGGTCTCGTCTTCATTGTCTGCTCCCACACCCCTCTGGCATGCTTTTGTAATGTTGGATTTATTTATTTTTGAATGGTAAAATGGAGCTAATAGATGCCTCTCTTAAAGTATCTTCAGAATACAATTTTTAAAGATTGTAAATTGCATTCAGCACTTCAAACAGAGATCACTGAAATGAAAAATATTAAATGTAAATACATAATGTATTTGAAATAGCCACAGTTATATTGTTATCCCCATGAGCATTTGCATTTCTGCGCCCATAACACTTTCACAACAGTTTATCTGAATATTTTTCGATTCATCATTACCATTATGTGAACAGTTGTGATACTGTTTCAAATTAGCTTTAAGTGAATGGTGATTATAATATATATTTATTGGGGCAAAGAGAATGGGAAGGAACACAAATTTTTGGAATGTAATTTCAATAGAATAAAAACAGGCTAACAGAACAAATGATGCAAAATTCAGGACGTGTCATTTAATAATAATATATTAGGATTTATGTACAAAGACTTCACACCATCACAGTAATTCTTTCGTAACATTCCTATGTGGTTGGGTGGCTGTGGTGGAGACATAAGAGTATAGCCTGTTATGTTTACTGAAATATCATGTAAGCCTGTTCTTTTTCTTTTTTTTAATAATTTTTTTATTAATTTTCCAACATAAATAAAAAACAATACAATAGACAATACATAAACACACAAACATATAAACACGTATAATTTCACAACCTCCTTTTCATAACCTTACTTCCCCGACTTCCCCATACCTCCCCCTTCTGCATCCCTATTTCAAAATTTCTTCAGCAACCCCTCACTTCAATTGACTGATTACTCATTTTCTTCCCCCCCCTCCTTTCTTCTCTTACTTAATCAATTTACAGCTGTAATTCTATATTTTCTTAACCATTGACATTTTAGCACTCATCAATTTTACAACAATTCTTAAGGTAAACTTTAAATTTCTTCCAATCTTCATCCACCGTCTCTTTTCCTTGGTCTCGGATTCTGCCGGTCATCTCCGCCAATCCCATATAGTCAATCACTTTCGTCTGCCATTCTGCCACGAGACCCGAACTCGTGAAGCAGTCCCCCTCCGGAGCTCGAAGGGAAGACTGCCATTAAATGCTGGCGCCGACCGGAAGCCCATGTAAGCCTGTTCTTAGTCTCTATCTCTATTGGCCAACCTGCCTGCATCTCTAAGCAGCGGTAGAGCGAGCCGATCAGGAATCTGGGGCGGCGCCCTGCGCCCAGGGGTGGGGCCAGCAGTCCACGGGGTGGGGCCAGCCAGGGCAGGACGCTCTGCGGGACATCCAAGGAGTCTGCCTACCTCCCCCCACTCAGCTGCCCTACAGCTGAGGGGGAGGTGGTGGGTGGACCATTTGGGCCAGCGCGGAGCATGCGGGCACTCAAGCCACCACATCACTCCCAGGAGAGACGTGGTTTGGGTGC